GCAAATGATTTTTTAAAATTTAATCAAGCACATCAGCAATAGTCTAGCAGAGGCAAATGATAATTTCACTTCCCCTGCTCTTCCACAGAGGAATTTAATTCGCCAATATCCTGAAGTGGCTGGTTTATTAAGCCACTTCATAGTTGTGGAAATTGACAGCAGAAGGCATGATTTTGGTCTGTTCCCAGTGATTGTGTGCACTGGGAACACCAAACCAGAGTGCACCTACCCAAACACAAAAAAATCATAAGTTCCTCATGGAAAAGATGTGGGTAGGGACACTTGGAATTGATAGGTTCACTCTAGTGAGCAGGTTGCCTAATTGCCAGGAAAAAAATGATCAAAACTGCCCCACAGCACACCAAACAGTGCAACAGATGTTGTTGGATCAAATTATAAGTTTCAGTGGAGGGAAAATAAAAATGCTACTTCTAAAAAACGGAGTAAAATACTTTTAATTGCTAGGTTGCGCTTTTTAAAATACATGTACAGTACTTCATTTAGGCAGATAGCCATAGGTCACAGAAATGACCCATATGCAAGGAGGAAATACTCTGTGTGTGTGTGTGTGTTGTGTGTGTGTGTAAAATATATAGATATATAAACCCAGTAGGCTAATATATCAAGTGAGACTGGGTCATAGGAGATCTGAAACTCTTAACAGCTTGCAAAAACATTAAGAACTAAATGTGATTTGGAACACAACCAAACTTGGTAAGAATATTGCTGGAAATCTCAAGACACAATAACACAGTATTTAAATACTGATTAACAGTGAAATCGAATGGAAAACAGAACAGCAATCCAGAAACATTATTTTAAGATTTAACCATTATTCTGACATAAAGCTTATACACAATCTGTTGAAAGACCTGTTGTACCACATTGTCTCTAATCTTTTGCATACTGTTTTCAGTACAGTATGTAATATCTATTGGCTGCTGTGATTTGAGTTTTTGAGAAATTCCATACTGTGGGAAATGCAACCATATGTAACTTTAATGTGTGAGTGAAAGAGAGAGTTTGAACACTTCTTTAAATATGGAGAGACAAAGTAAACCTTTATCTTGGTTACTCTCCAGGAAAGCCTTTTGAAGATTGAATTCCCTACCCCTACAGATGTAAGCAGACATCAACATTCCCTTCCCCAGTTTTGCTATTACCTAACTTTTAAATAATGTCCCCAGAGTAGTGTTTACGTGGGTTCAATATTTTGCTGGCATCCAATCCAGAAGGATCTTTCAACATTCCTGGTTACTAATTCACCAGCTTTTCTAAACTTTATATTTGATGACATTGGCAGTTTCACCTTACCTTATAGTAGTGATACATTATTACTAGTAGCAGTACTGTATGTCTTTATATAGCATTTTAGAAAATTCAACACTCTTCCCATATTTTATCAATTTTTTAAAAAGTCCCTGTGTTGTCAGTGACATCATCAATATCCCAGGAGGCTCAAGTGGAGAAACAGTAGGTTTCCCAAGGCCTTGCTTACCTGGGAAGCTGAATGTCACAGAGGAAAGTAATGTTCAGATGGCTGAGACAAACCTGCCTTAACATGTACTATTTAAAACTAATCAACATTTGTCTTCTGTCTTTGAAAATCTGTTTTGAAAAACAGAAGAAAAAATGACAGCACACCATTTGTTACCTATACAGGTATCTCCTTGTTAAAACCACTAAAATGACTACAATCTAGTCTGGACAACAATTGTTCGTTTTTTTCAGGCCTTGGGTGCTAGGCCGATCTCCTTAATCCACAACAGCCATTTGGCAACTACAACTAAACAACTAAACCACAACTGGTCACAAAACAGATGGGCCAAACCCTGCAACAAGCAAAAAAGGCTAACTGTTTCACCGTATTTTGCACAATGCTAAGACAGGATCTAACCACAACATGAGTGCTCATGTGAGGCTCATCTACCAACATGATATCCATGACGCTACCAGTCCATGCCCTTTTGCCTCCATGTATGATAAATAAGTCAAGTCTCCCCACAATAGCATAAATAGTACAAATCCAACGTCAGAAATGGCAGCAGTGACAAACAAGTAGGAGAGTATCTCAGTGTCCTTGGACACTACTGATATGAAAACTATGCTTTTTAAGAAGGATTTCAAAGATGCACTCCAACATGAAATAGTTGAAATAAGGTTAATAATAATAATAGACACCTGTATAATGCTTTCCATGTTCCCAGTAGTTACTTCAGTGCATATTTTGCACATAATCACACTCTTATTAGATTTGAAATAAACTGTATTTCTAAGGAGATGTCCTTACTTTTAAAATCTGCTCTGTTTACCCAGCTGAGTATCCACATACCAACTACCTAGTAAGCATCTGGTAGATTGGGTTTTGGTTCAGGAAAACCTATGATATAGTAAAATTTTCAGCAACCATTCATACATGATTCCAGTAATATTTATTCAGAATTGCTGTTTCCAAAATTGCATTTTGCCATATGAAAGGTCTGGCCAATTTTATATGACGCATACATTGATGTAAGCAATGTTATGTACTCATCATATCTGTGAGGGTGCATGCTGCTTATTATTGAATCATATGTTCCAGAGCAGAACTCTGGGACTGAAAACAGGTTCCAAAGTCAAGGTCTGATGTATCCTAACTCTAAGTGCTTCCAGATGAGAAGCTTTTAATCATCCTGTTGCCCTGCCTCATCCGCACAGTCTTATAAGGAATCTAGACAACGTTATCTTCCAAGTGCTTAAAAAAGAAAGAAATGCAGGAAGATGGACAGTGGCTGAACAGTGTTTTTGATTAGTAGCACTAAGAAGCCATCTGTCTGGAAAGGGTGTCATTAATAGCTCAGTGGTTTAGCAGGAATTCTGTCATGCAAATCCACTAGCGTAAATCTTTAATTCAAGATTTCCTGCCCCTTTCCCTTTTGAGGTTCTGTAGGGATCCCTTTTGACCTGGTGAAGCCCTTGGAAACCTAGGAATAGAGGAGGGGAAGCCTTTAATATCTAAAAATCCCCACTGGTGGTCTGAATCCAAAGGAAGAAAAACTTCTGCTGGTGGATGCTGCTTCAATTTACTTTACAAAACAATTCCTCCATAGCTGCCCTTGTAAATCTCAGTGCTCTTTTGGTTTCTTGCTAAAGTCTCCACTTCTCAATTTATTTGAATAAATGTTTTTATCTGGTTTGGGAGAGCTTCTCCTATTATACAAACATTTCATTTTTATCATTTTTTTTCATATTGGCTTTATTTGACCAAGAGGATGAGGACTTGGAACCCCTGTATTGAACAGCATAATAGCTTATCATTTGGAAGGCTTCTGCATTGGGGTTGGTTGGTATCAAGATACAGTTGTTCCAGCTTTTCCTCCTTAATGGATTTTTTTTCTGGAAAAAAAATAAAATAAAAGAGAGTTGTATAATGAGGACAAGATCATCTGAACTGAACATTATTTCAATGTACAGAGGAATTGCAGAATTAAAAGGCTCATCAGGAAGCATGGCAGCCTTCGACATTGTTCCAGCTTTTCCTCCTTAATGGATTTTTTTTCTGAAAAAAAAAAATAAAAAATAAAAGAGAATTGTATAATGAGGACAAGATCTTCTGAACTGAACATTATTTCAATGTACAGAGGAATTGCAGAATTAAAAGGCTCATCAGGAAGCATGGCAGCCTTCGACATTCTTAAACCATTATTACCTTAATTTTAGCAGATTTATACCATGGAAAATGGAGTTAAAATCCTGGTTCCGATATAGAAGTCACAATGAGATTTCGGATGGTTTCTTTCAGCAACCATTCACTTATGAACCGATTGGCTCTAGCAATCAGGAGAGTTAAAATCCTGGTTCCGATATAGAAGTCACAATGAGATTTCGGATCTGTTGCTGTTTCTTTCAGCAAGCATTCACTTATGAACCGATTGGCTCTAGCGATCAGGTAGTCTGATAACCAGGAAAAAAGGGCGAGCCAACCCATCCTCGCAGCACACTAGCACCAGGACTAATGGAGCCCTTTAGCCCCACTAGTCGTCTTGCAACCCAGGTTTTTCAACTGCTGAATCGAAAACATTTCATATTGTGGTAGCATCTTGAGAACATATCGTTTGGCTCAGGAGATGAAAGTCATCACAGTAGGCGTCCCCCAGTTCGCCAAAGCTCCGCAACTTAAGAAAGCTCTGCTTTTCTGGCAAGGGATTCAAGAACAAAAAGGAGACAAGGTTCCTTTGTTTTCAAACTTAATAATCAGGTGCCACCAAGTCAATTCTGACTTATGGTGACCCTTTTCAGGCTTTTCCTGGAGTTCGCCAAAGCTGCGCAACTTAAGAAAGCTCTGCTTTTCTGGCAAGGGATTCAAGAACAAAAAGGAGACAAGTTTTCTTTCAGACTTAATAATCAGGTGCCACCAAGTCAATTCCGACTTATGGCGACCCTTTTCAGGCTTTTCCAGGTACTGTAGAGCATACTCAGAAGGGGCAGGCCATTCCCTTCATCCGGGGGGCACTCCTTGTAGTCCAAGAACATCTCGAGGCCTAAGTTTGGGGACCACTGCTGTAGAGCATACTCAGAAGGGACAGGCCATTCCCTTCATTTGGGGGGCACCCCGAGACTGTGCAGCTTGCCCAAGTCCACACACGCTGGCTGTACTCACAAGGAGGCCCAGTGGGGAATCGAACTTCAGCCTCTGGCTCCGCAGCCAGATGCCGAAACCACTGAACCAGCAAATAAAACTTAGGTTAAAGGTAAAACGGGACTTTCCCACGAAGTCCACCCTGAGCTCCCTGGGGCAATGATCAAATACCTGTGTGTCAGGTAATGATTTGAACGTCGTGTGCGGGGCTTGCGGTGTTCAGCAAGGTTTCTTACACGCGCTGAACCATGACACTAGTCCTCAGCCGACCCTCCATCCGGGGTCCCTTCAACGCGGGGGCTCCGCAATACAACCTAGACGCGTTAAGCCCGCACCGCCTGGCGTCCTTCCCCCTCCTCATAAGCAGCCAACCCGTTTCCCTCTTAATGGTCACGTGATGACCTCCCCCCCCCGAGGGGAGCCTTCAGTGACGCGCCGGCAGGAGGGAGTGGACTCGTGGAGCCAATCAGAAGGCGAGTGCCTGGCCTGGAGAGTGTGGGGCCATGGGAGGCGCGAGAAGGTGCTTAAAGTGCCGAGCGCGAGCTCCGGGGAGCAGAGATCGTGCGCTGCACCTCCTGGAAGCATCATGACCACCGAAGGGGTAGCCGTTGTGTTGGTTGCCGCTGCGAGGACGCCGATTGGTGAGTTGGAGGCTGTGCGAACGCCACGATATTGACCCCCCCTCACCCCGCTGTGCTCTGTCGACGCGGAAGACTCAACAATTCCGCCGGCGAATGGCCCATTCATTCTGCATTTTCCCTTTGTTGCACGCTTGCCATCGCCTGGAAAGCGAAGCAGTGATTTGAGGCACGATGACGTGAGGGCATCTTTGCTGCCCGAACGGCTCCCCTTGGAAAGAACCGTGTTGGACGACGACAACTCGCAGGGTTCCCCGGTCACCGTGGCGTGACTGCTGGCTGTCCTGGTTGGGGGGGGGGACTTCGGGGAATTATATTTCAAGAAAAGGAAATCTTCCCCTGAGGAAGTGTTGAGACTCAAACTTTATAAAGAGAGTATATTTCTGGTAGAAGAAAAACTGCAGGGGTGTGTGTGGATTTCTCTCTCTCTCTCTCTCTCTCTCTCTCTCTCTCTGACAGGGCATCTGTTGAACAAACACACCCACACACACACACACACACACACACACACAGAGAGAGAGAGAGAGAGAGAGAGACGGATTTGAACCCAGGTCTCCCATGTCCTTGTCTGCCATGCTATCCACTACATCACACTGACTCTCAGTTTGGATATCACATTTTTCCTTTTGAGATTATGCAATAGTGTAGATGGAGATTTTTTATAATTAAATTAGACTGGAAGACATCCCCTAAACTGGAACATAAAGCAGGGGTTTGGGTCAAGGCAGACTATCCAGGTATCTCACACAAAAGAAGCATTATATTTTTCTCCATGGACTTGTTACTCTGAATAAAATGTTCATTATGAATGAAACTCGCTTCAGTAGTTGTTCCGCAAATAGATGTCTCTTGAGGAACAGGAACGACTTCTCTCAGGTACTAAAGTCAGGTGACCTCACCCTGTCTTATTCCGGGTACCATTTGCGAGTCCTTCACTGTTTTCCTCTTGATCCTGTGAAGGACTTTTTCATTTCTCTCCTCTTTCCAGTTCTGTTGCTTCAAACACCAGCTCTCAAGTACTTCTTCTGTTGCTGTCCTAACCTCTTCCTCACCTCTACTCCTTGCCTTATCTGCCTGGGCATGGCTGAACTTGCTATCCTCTGTGGCCACTGGAAGCTCCTCCCTTGCCTGTTTGTTGCTTGCAGTGATTGGAACGTGGTTGTGTAGTATCACTGTGTGGAAAAGCATTTGTGATTGCCTATTGAATCTCACCAACAAGTTGCTCTTGCCCTGATTAGGCGATAAGTATTAGAACCATGAAAGCCAGATTCTAATCTGTTCCCTCCTTAATTAATAACCTTGAAACTGCTCTTACAATATATTGCACAGAAATAAATACAAAGCCTGAGAAGATCTTGTGAGTCTTTGTTACCATCCATTTTAGCCCTAGGAGATTCCAAAGCCAGTTTATTTTGTCAAATTGCTTACCTCTTATTTTGCAGAGAGATATTTGCAGTCTTTGATAGCTTAGGAAAGTGTTGTTTTTTACTACAATGCCCAGAACTCGCCATCAGCCATGCTGGCACAAATTCTGTGAACTGTAGTTCAGAAAGTAACTTCTGTTGATAGAATGTAGAATGTGTTCCTGTTGGGAGAAAGGAGAAATGTTTTCTCTGAAATACTGTATTGTCAGGGCCATTTAAAGTACATAAATATTCTATTTAACTTCTTTTTCCCTTTTCCGTAGAAGTTAACTGAGTGATAAAAAGTATAATACAGTACACACATTAATGAATAAAAAGGGAAATCTTTATGGGAAGGAATTAGGGAATGTATTATTTGAAGTGCTTTGATAGAATGTCTGTCTTAACTGAATTATAAAAATACATTAATTAATGATAAGAAAGAGAACCCTTAAGGGAAAGAATTTGGGAAAGTATTATTTTCTTTGATGGTACATCTGTCTGAAACTTAACATTTTATCAAGTAGTAGAATAAAAAACTAATGTCATTTTCAAACTTTTTCATTAAACAGTGTAGCATCATCAACAAGGTTTATGAATTTTTTAAACAATCGATCAATTTGTTTTTTCAAAAAAAAGGATATTAGAAACTTCTGCATTCTAATTCTTATTTTGGAAATAAGTCTGACTAAATTGAATGAATCCTGCTTCCTACTCAACTTGTACTTAATTATGCCGCCTAGGAGAAAGATTGAATAGAAAACGTATTAGTGATGTTTAAAGTTCTAGCAGACCCTCATACCAAATACCACTATTTTGTGCGTGTTTTGCTGCAGTTGGGATTCAGAGACAAATTTCTAGAATGCTTCATTAAAAAGAGAAGTGGAATGAAAGAGTACCTTCTGGTGGTCTAAAAATGCTTCTTGTATTTTATCCAGGATCTTTCAACGGTGCCCTGTCTGGTTTACATGCCCATGAGTTGGCTTCCATAGCCATTAAGGAAACCTTGCAGAGGACAAAAATTGATCCTAAAGATGTTTCTGAAGTTATATTGGGACAAGTCTTGGCTGCAGGTATGTATTTGGTAAACATTTATAACATGGTGCATAGGACCTTATATTTCTTTATTATACAGTTTCTCTTCTTTTTCCCCATGCAACCTGGCAATGTTTACTGAAGCCTTAATATTCCTGCTGTTGGAGGTGATACAGTTCCTTCCCCAAGCATGTCATATTCCATTTCTGTCTTTTGGTACAAACAGGATTCTACGTGTGATGCATATCAGAAAGGGGGAAAGGTGAATGATGGGACCAGAGAAAGAACAAGATGGGAAACACCTAGTCTTTTCTATCTTCCAGCACTGATCACATTAAAGCTGCAACAGTTTGCTGGATTGCAACATGCAGGCCTGGCCCTAACCTCAACCTGCCTTAAGTACAGTGGACCCTCGACTTACAGACGGCTCGACTTACAGACTTTTCGAGTTACAGACTTCTCTGGCTGCAAAATTTAGATTCGACTTGCAGCTAGAGAATCGACTTACAGACCAGAAAAAAACCAAAATGGAATAAAAATAGAATAAAAACCACTGGTTATGGGATTAATCGGTTTTCAGTGCATTGTAGGTCAATGGAGATTCGACTTACAGACTTTTCGACTTGCAGCCACCATTCCAATACGGATTAATTCCTTAAGTAGAGGGTCCACTGTAGCAGATTTTGGATGTCAAGAAAGGGCAGGAATTTAGTATTTATTGCTCTAATGGAAGAGGTGTTTATGGGATTTTATGCCTCTTCTGTAAAAATAATGTTGACTTTTCTACTGTGGATCTTGATTTGTGGAGACAGGGCAGAGGAATGGCATTTATTGCTCTGCCTCCATGACCATAGTGTCTAGTGTGTGCCATAGCTTTTCCATCTCTGTTCTAAACAATAAACATTTGCTGTGAAAAATCAAAGTCTAAACTATAAGAAGTCCCTATTTCTACCTACTCCTTTATCTCAATAGAATTATTTTGCATTTTGTGAGAGTAAAACTCTCATAAAGCACATTACAACATACTGTGAAATATAAAATGAATCATCAAACCATAAAAAATTGAGTAATAAGTCATTAAAATTAAAACAGTAACAGTAATAAGTACCTGAGTCAAAATCAAAATATACTGAAAGTAACATAAGGCAGAGGAAAATATGTAAAATCTTCCTTCATGCCAGGAAAAAGGGGAACAGTACAGATTGGGGGTGGGGGACATCCAGAAGTGGTGGGGCCACCCAGAAAAGTCTCTGTGCCTTACAGGTGTCACACTAACTTCTCTTGTTGGAGGACCAGAGAGCAGAGCCTCAAATTCTGATCAGGAAGTTCAGGAAGCTTAGTATGAATGAAGGCAGGTATCCTGAAAACCAGATCCCAAACTTTGTGAATGTATTACAGAGGTTTCACCACTGTGACATGCAGGTTAAAGCAAAACAAAAGCTATCCCAAAGCAATGTTGTAATGTGCCTGAAAGGCAAGTTAGGTCCAGCCCAAGAAATCCGTTGCAAAAGTCACTTGAGCAACCTGAATGCAGGTGTCGCAATGCAGACTGACGCATACATTTTTACAAGGATTGTTTGGCTCTGAAAGGAAATGCTGGCTACCAGCTTACAAAATGGAACTGGATATTAATAATGTCATTGCCCCATTGTGTATGTCTCTTTTTGGGATTTTTATATGAAAGGATGTAGAACAATGAGGAAGGAGCATGTGTGTGAACAGCTAGCACTTGAACCTCTGCCTCTTGTGTACTCTGAATTCACTGTATTTTTGCAGGTGCTGGTCAGAATCCTGCTCGGCAAGCCAGTGTTGGTGCAGGGATTCCCTACGACGTACCTGCTTGGAGCTGCCAAATGATATGTGGTTCTGGCCTGAAAGCAGTCTGCTTAGGAGCTCAATCCATTCTGATCGGAGATTCCAGCATTGTGGTGGCTGGAGGCATGGAAAGCATGAGCAAGGTGAGGCTGTGGTCGCTAAGAAAGGCTACTCAGGCCTTCAGCCTTATTCTGCTTCTAGGGAGTTTGGTCAAAAATCCATTGGACAAAAACATTTGGGTCCACTTTAGATCAATGTTGCTTGAGAGAATCATAAGAATATAACAAGTCTGGGTCTGACAGCATCATGAGAAAGGGCTGACGTCATCTTTAAGGGAAATGCAACAGGCAGAATCCTAGTGACCTGCTGACCAATACTAGCCACCCAGAGTAGACTTCGGTCTAGACAGGCAGGGGTATAATTTGAATGAATGAATAAACAAACAAACAAATGCTTTGTTATTGTTCTGTGCCATCAAGTTTGAACTGATTTACAGTGACCCTAATAAGGCTTTCAAGGTAACTGAGATATTTAAGGAGTGTTTCTATCAGGTTCCCCCCCCCCTCGGGAGTTTTCATAGGCAAGTGGGGATTCAAACCCTGTTCTTCAGAGTCCTAGTCCATCACTCTGTCCACTGCACCACACTGGGAGCTTTTGGTCTCATCTAAATTAAGTTTCAATTTAATTGGCGTTTTCTAGTCCATGATTGACTCTTAAACAGAATGTCTATGGTTGTGTCTAGAGAAGTTACAAAAGGTAGGGGGGGCATCAGTGTATTGATGACATTTTTTTTCAAGTCTTGAAATCTCCCAACATGGAAAAATAGAATCTTTTGGAGTTTCATTAGCCCAGTTGCCATAAAGCAGAACAATAGTTCCTTGATACAACCTTCTCGTTCTGTCAGCCAGAGAGGAATAGAGCCAGTGAAGTATCTCTAATTTCTGTCCCAAAGGAGGACTGACATCCAGAGTCGGCATGGTTGAGCACCTGCCAAAGGGATACTGCTAGCGGGGAGCCCACTGGTGCCCTTCGTCTTGTGCCTCCTTCACTGTAGGATGGCAACCTGTTTGTTGACTCACTTTCACTCTGGTTCAGACAATCGTGTGTACACATGGCATCGAGAAAAGCTGTTGTGAAAACAGTGCTATTTAATTGAGTGTTCAGGTCTACCCTCCCCACATGAGAGGCATCTTAACCCATGTTATGTAAATTTCAGTTGCCCTGTTGTTGCCATCTGTGGCTAGCATGATGTGTGATATTAATTTATACTTACAATGTTTATTTTCTTATTTTGCTTTTGTTACTTTTGTTTTTATGGTTTGTGTTCGATGTTGTCTTATATGCTTCTTTCTAAGCTGCCCAAAGTAGTGGTTTGCCACTAGATGGAAGGGATTTAAGTGCAAAAAATAAAGGAAATAATAAAATAATAATAGTCCAGAATTAGGACTTGTGGGTGTTTTACTGATAATTAGGGGAGAATTGGAGTTAGGGTAAAGTGAAGAAGAGGAGAAGCTCATTGGGGGGAAAGGCAGGATATAGCTGGCACAGAGAAATCCTAAATAAATAGTGAAAAGTGGCATGTGTTTACAGCATCAATAAAGAAGGAACACTACTGACGTTAGTTCCTTAATATAGGGTGAGCATTTGGTTATGTGCTTGATATTTTAGTTCTGATGTAGGCAGTGATTTTGAAAATGAGAGGGTGTGTAGTGAGAGGCGGCGTAATCCTCCATAGTGGCAACACTCATTTGTTTTATCAGATGGTTTTCTCTGGAGAAAGGTTTGACAAGTGTTGCAAATACTATCAACCCCTTCAGAACATCTGAAGAGAGATGAGAGTGGGATGTGCCGACATATTATGGGCAGGGAGACTTTCCAACTTTCTGAAGCAACTATAATATACTCTGAGTCTTAAATACTGTTTCTGCTGTTGTGAAAAAACAATTGTCTAAATGTAGTAACCAGCATGTGATACTCTTTTTTTCTCTCTGAAAGAGAGGAGCATAGGGAGCTGTCCCATTCTATCTACTTCAGATAATTTAACTCAGTGGCATGTCTCTGATGATACTATTTCCTAAATACCCCTATTTGTGAGAGTCTGGGAGCTCTAATCCAAAAAAAAGTTCCTTTTCCCCCATCTTTTGATGTAATCCAGTGTGAACGAACAGAATGGAAGTTGTGTGTGGCATTGATTTTCCTCGTATACACAGTCCCTGAAACGTGTTCCGCATGGTTGGTGGCTTTTGGAGCAAGCTAGCATGGTGGAAGTTAGCTGATTTCGACATACAAAACTTCAGATGACTTGGGTCCAAGCTACATGAAATACCATATTTTCCTTTATAAGTCTGCCCTGGCTTTCAAATTATCAAGGGAAGTTTTTCTCTCTATCCTTCCACCTTTACAGGTGCATTTGGTGAGGACACAAGAAAGGGCATTCTCTGTTCTGCTCC